AATATTATACTACACACTTAGAGAGAAATCTGTCAGTAATATTATACTACACACTTAGAGAGGAATCTATCAGTAATACTATACCACACACTTATTGAAGAATCTATCAGTAATATTATACTACACACGAGAGAAATCTATCACACACTTAGAGAGAAATCTATCAGTAATATTACTGTTTACTTGTATGGTGTGATAGATTTGTAATATTACACCATACAAGTAAACAGAAATCTATCAGTAATATTACACCATACAAGTAAACAGCAATCTATCCATAATATTACACCATACAAGTAAACAGAAATCAATCTGTAATATTACACCATACAAGTAAACATAAATATATCCGTAATATTACACCATACAAGTAAACAGCAATCTATCCGTAATATTACACCATACAAGTAAACAGCAATCTATCAGTAATATTATACTACACACTTAGAGAGAAATCTATCAGTAATATTATACTACACATTTAGAGAGAAATCTATCAGTAATATTATACTACACACTTAGAGAGAAATCTATCAGTAATATTATACTACACACTTAGAGAGAAATCTATCAGTAATATTACACTACACACTTAGAGAGGAATCTATCAGTAATATTATACTACACACTTAGAGAGAAATCTACCAGTAATATTATACTACACACTTAGAGAGGGATCTATCAGTAATATTATACTACACACTTAGAGAGGAATCTATCAGTAATATTACACTACACACTTAGAGAGGAATCTATTAGTAATATTATACTACACACTTAGAGAGGAATCTATCAGTAATATTACACTACATACTTAGAGAGAAATCTATTAGTAATATTATACTACACACTTAGAGAGGAATCTATCAGTAATATTATACTACACACTTAGAGAGAAATCTATCAGTAATATTATACTACACACTTAGAGAGAAATCTATCAGTAATATTATACTACACACGCGAGAAATCTATTAGTAATATTATACTACACACTTAGAGAGAAATCTATCAGTAATATTATAATCCGTATGTTAGTGTGGTTAAAATATTATCACATATTCTTTTTAGCATTCACTCATTCTTTCTTACAATGTATAAGACCCAAGTAATCCGTTAGGCTTCACTATATGAATAAAGATGAGTTCACCTGTAAAATTATAATACATCAGCTAAGAAAGGATCACCCGTAAGATTATAAAACTTGAGTCAAGGAAGGACCACCCGTAATATTATATAATATGAGTAAAGAAAAGATCACACGTAAGATTATAAGACACGAGTAAAGAAAGGATCACCCGTAAGATTATAAAACATGAGTTAAGAAAGGATCACCCGTAATATTATATAATATGAGTAAAGAAAAGATCACACGTAAGATTATAAGACACGAGTAAAGAAAGGATCACCCGTAAGATTATAAAACATGAGTTAAGAAAGGATCACCCGTAAGATTATAAAACATGAGTTAAGAAAGGATCACACGTAAGATTATAATACATGAGTGTCAGATTTTAAAAAATAATATATAAATATATATATTCTTATTTTTGCCAACTGTAGAAATAAATGGCTTTTACTTATATTTCTTAATAGTATAAATATATACTATGTTGTTGTTGGGCTTAGGATTCTTCTACAGTAGGTGTCTGTGACTTGTTAGCGATAAATTCAACAATGAATAAACAGCACACACACTTTACTTGTTTTCAAATAATACATGTATATATATTCGGAACAAGTTAAACGTATGTACAACAAAGTCTTCACACTATAGAGGTTACAGGCATATTATAAACACTCTTTATATATAGTTCTCTTCTTCTTGTCAAAAGTCCACTTAGGCCTATTCAATTTCTTTAGAATTTCAGTTGACAAATCGAATTATCTTCTCTACATTACTATTGTACTAATATTCTGTGTGGCAACTTACAGTTGTGGCGCAAGTTACCGTAATTCATTTGGTCTTCTTTCCTTTGAAGATCCCCTGTTCCTTTTGGCCAGACGACTATATAATAAAGATATAGTGTAAGACGAGCGGGAAGCAGTAGACAGACAACAATAGACAGATAACAGCAAAAAAGAATATAGCTGTAAGAAGTTAAATACCGTAGTTGTGATAGGCCTAACGTTTAATATGTTAAAGTGAAACTAACAGTATAAAAAATGATAAGAAGGATAATTTTATTCCGTCAAAGCGTGGATCTAAAGTAATTGAATCAGCCTGGGTACAATTTGACACTTTCGATATTCTCGACACCCACCGATTAGTTATTAACAAAACCTTCTACAATCGTCTGCTTGTAACTCTTATTATAACAAAACTTAAAAATAATAAACTATTCACTCACAAATATAAATTAACCACTAATATTTAAAACAAACAGTCTTTTATATCACGACAAACTGATGATAACCTATATTTCCTATCAAACTCAATTACTAATTTTGGTAATAAAGTTAGAAAAAGAACAATATATATACACTCCAGATAATTTTATATAAGAGGACTTATTTCAACCGACGTTTCTCCCTCAAAAAGCCGCAAAGGCGAAACGTCAGTTCAAATAAAAGTTCTATTACAACTATTACCACCGAAAATATAAGAAGTAAGAAAATCTAACATTACAAGAGCATTACAAATTTATGAATTTTAAAATGAAGTAGGGATCTTGCTAGATCTTTTTTTTTTTCGGTGTACGTAAGAGCTTCTAATTTTTATCTTTAAATTGTACTGTCCTCCTGTAGGTCAACGGTAAGTTTATAGACTAAAATCCAACGTTCATTTATCTGCACTGGAGAAGGTGTGGATAACCCATAATGCGGATTTGCACTAAGGAAATCATATTTTGTGTATTGTCTTCAATGTACGTATTCTTATAATGAAAACATTTATAGGTTCTGGTTTTGTTTTTTCATAATTGTTTCCTATAGTGCATCTCTTAAACTTAACTGGGTTTCCAACTGCTTTAAATGAATGTAAAATCCATACCAGTATTACGTGTTAATAAATACAAAGTACTATACAGATAACTACACTTACGTGCTTCCTTATATATTTCCTAAGACTATAATATATAAACATTAATATCCCGATAAAGAACTTCTATTCCGTATTTCTTCTCCAGTTCAAATATCGGTGTTTTAGTCTTTTGATAGACCAGGTTCAAGATGACTTCTTCTTCTTTCCGAAATGTAATTTTTCTCGCTACTGATGAATGTAAATGCGACATCAGAAACTGAGTAAACAGCACTTGCTCCGACCCCTATCAAGAAACTATTCATGTCGGAATCAACAATACATTCTTGTGCTGTGCAATGAATTTCATATTTCACTTTTTTTGTTTTTCAGAATTGTCCTACTGAGTAGGACTAAGAAAAATTATTTTTTTAGACTAAAATACAACTTAATTACTAAAGCTTGATAACTGTCTATCGGCTTGTCTACGTCTTGTATACTACCAGCTGACTTATTTCGTAAATGGTAAGACTAAAGTACATGTTCTGTTTTGAATTTGATTGTCGCATATATCAATTTTAATACAAAAGCTAATTATCATGTCAAATTTATTACCTTGTTTTATTAATATTACGTAGAGTTTGTTTGTAACATAAACATTTTATGAATTAGAGATATTTATTAGTCGTAACGGAACGTGGGCAAGTCCAAACATATGTTGAAAATAGGGGTACTAGTCACTTTGAGCGAGTGTGATTCTCAGTAAATAAGAAACTGCGTACATGACTTTTAAACATTTTACACATTTATGTAAATATATATTTGTGTTGTATAAAGGATGAAAAATAAAAAGAAGCGTTAAAAAATTTGGACGAAACGATATGGAAATATCACCAGCGACGGCGAAACGTCAGTTCAAATAAAAGTTCTATTACAATCATTTGGACTATAAAGGTCTTTTTTTTTTCTAACTTAATTATAATTTTTTAAATCCCTATGCTATGCACTACAACTTCTGAAAGACAACAAAAAAACTATTATGTCTGTTTTTTATGTTCGATTTAATAAAGGTACGTTTATTAAGATAACTTCTTAGGCGTTTTCTTTGATAAATATCTCGCAATAAACTAGTGCAATCATTCCGTGTTTGAGCCCGTGACTACATCGTATGATTGAGAATAATATAAAGTATTGTAAAATTGCTTGTTTGTTAATAAAGAGCAAAAACACACAATTTGTTATATGTGCTATGCTCACTACGGGTGTCAAAATCCGATTTTTAGCGTAATAGGTCTACAAACCTACCGCTAGGCCACTAGAGGGTGTTTTTTATGTGAAACATTAGATTCATTTTTAACTTTGTCATCAAGTTCATAGGACTAACGTTTTTATCCAATAGCCTACTTCTTTCCACTAGTTTAGAGCGTAAACCATTTAAATTTTCACTTTTTTTATTCTAATTAATCAATAATTTGTCTTGGAGAGCTATTGTTAGTCTAGGAAACTTTCGTATTTTATCTATAGCTATATATTATTCTAAAAAATTGCAAAGTTTCGCCTATATTTGAAATTCAAATTATTTGCAGTGAACAAAGTGTACAACATTTTTATTGGCATAAAACAATTTCTTAAAATAACTATTACTTACATGTATTGAACATATCAAACAAAAATTTTGCTACATTCTACATTTAAATATATAGATTGATACACAGTAATGGGCAGTTCAATTAAGATCACTGACTCGATTTATTTCATTCAGTTTAATTTATGAGTCCATTTAAAGGATTTGTCCGTTTAATACGAAACCTATACATGTAAACTGAAGCATATGGTTCCGAAGGGTTATTTAGACTGAAAGCAATTAGATATATAAACCAAAGTTAGTTGCCTTGGTTGTATCGTTTTTAAAACACAAAATGAAATATAGGTTCGCCAAAGATCACATTTCAGTCAAGATCTTGGAGAAAATGTCAAAATATTAACTATTTAACGTAGGTTAGAGAACAGATAAAGAATGTAAAGAAGAGAAGGACGAAGTAGTGGGTACGGGAGAAGGAAGTGTAACAACAGAAATACTGGTAATGTAAACAAACGTGAACGGGTAGACGAGCACTGTAATATATAAACCGTCAAGTCCGTGGGAATCAGTTCAAAAGATAGATAGAAGGTGGTAGATGAGACAAAGCTACGTCAACGTGATTTGGATTATCTGGCGAAAGTGACGTAACATACAGGTTCAAAAGATGATCATCAGGAACTAAAACCTTACGTGAGGTATGCATTATGCTTACCTTTTTATTATGAATTAGGTTGTAACTATCTGCAAAGCAAACAAAACTGTAATGATAAAACAAAACGAACATAATAACAGGAAGCATTTATTAGACGTTTCGGAATCGTCATAATTTCACCATCAGTAATATAGGGTTAAAAAACAAACAAACAATATTTGTAATTACAACAGAAATATATACATAAGAATTAAACAAATCGAATATACAAATATAACATGAGAAAATGATAACTGAGATACAAGTGAAATAGTTAAAATAGGTTTAAATCCGGTAAAGACTGTGTTAAATAGGGACGGGAGAAGAGTTTTATGTATAACGTTTCTTTTATAAGAAGTCCAGTATCATGTTTGGCTGTTGAAAGGATTTTAAAGTTTGAGAGAGAAATCGGATGTTCTATTTCTGTATTGTGTTGATATATAGAGGAGTTGGGAAGGTTTGAAACTTTTCTTCCAGTTGTTATAGATATGCCCATGTCTTCACATGCCCGTACTATAAGGTGACGTTTGATTTCACCAATATAGGAGACCTTACAGTCTCCGCACCTATATAAGTGGGCGAGATGTGAACAATGGGCAGTCAGCAAACGATCTTTGTAGCGGAAAAAATTTTAGGCTAATGTTGGGTTTCATAATTACTTTCATTTTCAGATCAATTTAGGGATAGTAAGTGTTACATAATTTTCTTAACTGTTTAGTGGTAAGGGAACTCTATCTCCCGAGATATGGTAAGCAGGTGTTTAAGGGAAGTTTGGGTACAGTGGGTATCTTGTTGGTTTGAGAAACAAATTAGTTAGGAATGAGGAAGTTATCTTATCCAAGAAATACTTAGGGTAGCCGTTTCAAAAGAGAATGTTTTGTATGCAAGTAATTTCTTTGTGAAGGGCTAAATAGGATGAGGTAAGTTTGTAGGCTCTATTTAGTAGACAGAAAATAAGAGTGCGTTTGAAAGAGAATGGCATGAAACTGTCAAACTGAGTGAAAAGGCAAGTAAATATGTTTTTACGATAGACAGAAGTTGAAAAGCCGTTAGTATCATGGTTAACAAGAATGTCCACGAAGGGAATAGAATTTATTTCATGAGAGGTGTTGTGAATTGAGATAGTCAAGAAAGCGTTGGATATGATCAATATGGCGGAAAATAAGGAAAGTATCATCAACATAACTTCTGCAGCGAACAGGTTTTAAGCTTAATGGACACTTGTCAATCCAGTTCTATTAGTGGTGACAAAGAAAAATGTTGGCCAGGGTAGGACCTGGGGGGGAGGGGAGCCCATAGTGACGACATCTATCTGCTCATATAGAGTATTGTTAAAGAGGAGAAAAGAGTCTTTAGTCGAGAGTTCAATCATAGATTTGAAATCAAACTTAGAAAACCCATTAATAAGAAAGTTTTTAGAGAAGAGATTAGAACAAGCACGGTAATTATTTACTACTAAGTTAAAAAACTTAGCATTCTCCACCTTCTATAACTATAACACACGCAGGATATCCTCAAATCTGAAGAACTGACAGCTATCAAAAACTCTCTTCTCCTCGTTAACAATACTCTATGTGAGCGAACAGATAGCGTTGCTATAGGCTCCCCCACTGGGTACTACCCTGGCCAACACTTTTCTTTGTTACCACGAACAGAATTGGATTGACAACTGTCCTTTAAGAAGCCAGTTGAAACTTTGAATGCATATATATATATATATCTTAATATACAAGTCCTATTTTTATTTAAAGTGAGTTCTTAGCTTAACAGTGTATTTAATACTTAACTTTCTTTCATATAAAACTATATAAAGCTGTTATATACAAAATGTATTGTTGCGTCAGCGAGGTCACGTGACTGGTGTCACGCCACGTTTTCTAGAAGTATCCTGTTCCTTCGTGAATGCCCTAGCATTTACTAGATTGGGGGTGTGGTCTGATATATATAAGATGGTCACAAC